TCAGATATATAAACATCAAACAAACACCTAAAATTATTTTTAATTAAATAGATGACATGGAATGAATAAATCAGTTATCTATACTTATACCTTGGCTGCTTCAGTTGACACAACTTTATTTTGAACGAGATCACATTTGTTTCCAACAAGAAGTTTGTTCACATTCTCACTTGCATAACGATCAATTTCACTTAACCATTGTTTCACATTTTTAAAGCTTTCTTGGTCTGTCACATCATAAACCACCTATACACACACATTAAAAAAATATTATAAAATTAAACAAAGAGAATATAAAAAATAAAAAAGAGCACTCACTATAATGCCGTGGGCCCCACGGTAGTAGCTGCTTGTAATTGTCCTAAAACGTTCTTGCCCTGCTGTGTCCCACTGTGCATAAAATAAAAAACAAACAAAAAGGCTTACAATTTTAATCAAAAAAAAAAAAGCACATCAAATGTTATAGACTTACAATTTGAAGTTTAATTGTCTTGCCATCTTGTTCCACGGTACGAATTTTCTACAAAATGTGAAAAAACATAATAAATTCAAGCCGGTAAGACACACTTTCTTACATACGACAGCACATGATTGGATATGACATGACATAATAGGTTGTACTGTGTTCAACGTGTATTGGACCCGGATTGATGTCAATAGGACAAAAAGTTGCAATTTTTAAATTTTTGTGTTACCAAAAAAGACAGGTCTGTGCAAAAGACATGAATGTCCTCCTCATGATGATTATCGATAATAGTCCTAGAAAGTTTTATCTACTCGTGTCCCATGTAACAATTGTGAACCAAAATTTAGAAAATTTACTTACAAAATCAACTCCAATGGTGCTTATGTAACTATCCAAGTAGGAATCGTCCTATGATCAATCATGAGGGGAAAAGAGAAAACAAAGGAAATTCGTTAAATATGTAATAAAAATGGCTACAAATACCAAAGTTAAAATGCGTTGAGAAAATTTGTTTTATTATTCATAAAGTATATTTTGTCTACGATCCAACAAGGGACTTACAGCAAACCTCAGGAGTAGACATGATTTTCCTACTCCAGAATCTCCAATAAGCAAAAGCTTGAACAGGTAATCACTGCAAAACATGACATTGCCCTAAAGTAATAATACAGATCATACCACAACTCTAGATTTATCATGTTCTGATGATGTGGCAGTGACATGACAACATATTTAAAACGACGTAATTAAACAATAATTGATAAGATGCTTCATAAATATTACTTCTCATTATCTCATACACCACCAATTTGGCATTCTATTTGTTCAACCACGACCTAATCCAATTACATTAAACATGAAAACAACCATAAAAATCACATATACAATAAGCACCCGCATCAAATTTAATGAATCAAGCTCCAATGGAAAATCGACAATTTACAGAATTGATTACACTTGATGATCAGTGGTTGTATCATTTAAAGAACACCAATCGCACGTGAAAGGTAGAGGCGTTGATTCGAGAATTCACAGATCATATTTGATGCTAAAGAAAAGAACTTACTACTCAGTCGTCATGGCGGGGTTGTTGATCGCAGGAAAGAATGAGCGTGGAGCAGCGAATCTTGTGGATCGTTGCCGGAGGAGAACTGAAGCTCCGATGAGAGAGCGAGAGAAAATGGACGGAACACGCAAAATGCAAGGGACGTGAATGAATCATGAAAAGGGTAATTTATACATTTTTTTTTTCTGTTTTGTTGTAATACTCCAAATTTTGTTCATATTATATTATTATTACACCCATAATGGTTAGGAATGAACTTTTGTTTTGTTCTAGTTAATTTTATCTAATAAAAACTATTATCATAAACTTTTTTAATATATAAATAATTAAATATTAATATTAAAAAAGATTAAGTAGTCATAAATATTTATAAACAAACATGGTTATAAGGGGTAAATTGAGAATATTATTTTATAAAATAGATAAAGTAGTCATAAAATATTTATTAAAAACGTGGTTATATAAGGCATTCTTACCTTCGATGACATTCCCGAAGCTTAACTCTAACTAGTAAAATTAAGAAAGATGGATCATTATCTCTAAAGCATTTTAACAAATAGCAATAGATGAAACATCCAACACATTCGAGAAACAAAAACAGCATCTATATTAACCTACATACACATACATCTCGTATATAATAGATGCACACATATAGTTGAGTTCAACTTAACGAGGGAAAGGAAAGGAAATGAGTGGAAGTTAGGAGAAAGTAAAATATATTGGTATAATCGAGTTTCATTAATGAAAGGAAGTGGAAGGAAATGAAATGATAATTTTCTCTCATAACTTTCCTTCTGATTTAGAAGGATTTTGAGAGAAATAACAAAATGTTTTATTTTTCTCTGACTTCTCTCTAACTCGGAGATTTTTTGTTTAATATAAAAAATTTATGTAAGGAAAAACTCTAAATTTAAATTTTACCAATGTAAGAACCCAAAAATTAGAAAGATTTGACTTTGGGTGAATAATCGACAAAAATAGCAATTTGGTCATTTAGAGGAATTCTATGAATTAAGAGCATATAACTTCATGAAATGGGTCAAGATAAGTCTAAGTCACTTTTATAAAGATGAGATAAGTGGGCTCAAGAGAAGAAATGTAAAAGATGGTGCTTTAGGTTATAATAGGTAAAATGAGAATTTTATGTCTTTTGTCTCAAGTTTGTGACTTAATAGATTAAGAATCGTAAGTAGTCGGTCTAAAATGACTTAGAGGAGTTGTATAGCCCATCCCCACCTTCACGTATAAATATAAAGATCATTGAAAGTATATTTAAAACGAAGAAGTTACCAGTTTTGAAGATTAGGAGAAAATTGTCCCAAAACTTGAATGTAATCAGCTAAGGACCTGCTGAAGTGCAATCACCGCGGCACGGCAAGGGCCTTGCCACAATGCGATTTGCATAGAGGTAAAAATGGACGAAAGTCTCATCATAAGGGCAATGTACTGTGCACACCGACGTGATTATATGGATTGTCGCCTTCATGAAATCACAACTACAAATTTAATTATATCTATATAATATTTAATAACACAAAAATCTACACCTTCAATTATACTATTTCTATCTTTTTCAAAATTAATTAAACACTTTTTATTATAAATTTATTTCAAATTGCATGGTATTTGACTCGGTTCAAGTTTCCATTTTAGTAAACAAATGCTTAAGTGATAAATAAAATTTCGTATTGACTATTTAATTAATACTAGTATTTATAATTTATCCATGAACATCAAATTTAAATAGGACAACTATTTATTAAATATTTATAATTCCATATGCATCTTTTAGTCATATATTATAACTAAGTTTGATAGTACATTAATGACTTAATTTTAGATCTTTTTAGTGATTTTGGTTTCTATTCGTTTAAAATTACTTTTATGCCCTTATAATTTATTTTTTCTACTTTTTTAATTGTTAACTTATACTATATTAAAAAGCCTATTAGTCACATCTTGAATTTTAAGAGGTATACATTACAAAGATTTTTGTACAAATCATTTATGCATAAATAAATCACTAATACTTGTCAAAAGTTTGAAAACTTGAATTAAGAAAGATTATTAAGAAATTCAATTTAGAGCAAAATGATAAATTTAAAATATTAAATTTATATATATAAATCAATTTATATTTTTTTAAACTAGACACCGCTATTAATTACTTCACATCAAACGTATAAACATATAATATAAATATAATGTATAAGCAGAAATATTTTATTAATACTGGTAGTTTTTTATTACATAATAACTACTAATAAAATCAAATAATTATTTTTTCGTAAGAAATTATTCGTCAAAAGAACTATTTATCGTCGTCATTTTGCACAAACATACATCTAATAATACTTTAATTAACTTAATTTATATTTTTTCTAACTTAAAACATAAATAAATAAACCCCCACCCCACCCATCTTTATCACAACACTGAGGATGAGAGAAACTCATTTATCATCAGCTCCACCTCTGTCATCAACATAACCCTCTTATGTCTGGAACCACCGTCGATGGCCGTCATTCTCGCCAGAAAATCGTGCTTGATGGGTTGCATCTGATTTGCCACCAACAACACCTCTACCACAGTCTAGTGTTCCACAACTGACATTATCTCTAAAAACCACCAAAGTTTTCCCTACTCAAACAACCTTCACTAGTGTCATCACTCGTCACCTATCCAAACTATCAATCAACACCGCCACCCACCGGAGTTCATCTGAATCAAGATACATATCTGGATCGAAAGGGAAACGAAGTTAGGATTTTGTGACTATGGTTTTCTCCGTCTCTCTTTCTCTCCCTTATGCTTGTATGACTGCCATATCGTACATAAACGAAGCTAGGGTTTTCCGACGCCAACGCTAGGGTTTTCTGTCGGATCTGCTGGTACGATGGTCGCCAACAAGGGTACGGATGGTCGGAGTTTTGAACGGAGGGTGAAGGGTAACAGTTTCCGACTTGGTGTTGGTAGAGGGAGTGACGAACGCCGTCGGTGGTCCAATGACGGTGGTGGTCCGATGACTGTGGCGGTATGATGATGATGATGGTGGCCCGACATGTGATAGGGTGGACCGATGATGGTGTGTATTTGTGCGTAAATGAGTGGGTTAAAGGCATGATTTAAAAAAGAATTATTTAAAAGCATATTTGTTATTTTAAGGTGGAAGTGGACCAAAACCACAAAAATAATGTCAATCATCGGGACCTACTACACAAACACAAGGTATTCAAAATTATATTGCTGATACACCACCAATTTATTTTGGATCAAATTCATATAAGTTTGACAACCACACACCATTTTTGCAATTTTGTCTTAAAATTTAAATAGAACATTATTTTTGTCTTTGTTTATCAATTTTATCTCATATTAAGTGTCTAGAAATGCATGATCAAATGACAGTCAAACATAATGACTTGTTGTATTCGTTTCATAGAATCTTGAACAATCAATACGATTCCTCTTTCTATAAATTACAACAATCACAACCAAAACTCCCTTTTAAATCTAATTGAAACCCTCTTAACTCAAGCAACTTTCGAGAGCTACATTTGAGTTCATGTTATTGAAAAAAAAAAGACCGATGAAAACATCTTCATATAAATTATTAAAAAAATAGAATAATAATTTTAGTTTTTAACAACAATTATATATACCTAACCTACAAAACCTCAACCGCTTCCTTGTCTTTGTTCTTCTTGGGCCTCCCAGTTTGCTTCGCATCTTTACCCATCAAAAACTTCATAGCTTTCTCCAAAGTTATGTCATTAGGATTCGTGTTCTGTGCCCATATTCAAACACTTACACAATCAAAACCCTAAATCCTAAATAAAAGAATAATTAAATGTTTTGATTTTGGATGTGAAGATATTAACATAACATAAACATACCTTTGGTACTGGTGCTTGTGTACGTCTATGTTTTACTGACAATCCATGTCTTGCAAGCTTCAGTACCACTGGTAAACCATCATCTGGATGTTTTCCCTAAAATATATACGAATTTAATAATATTAATTCAGTAATTACAATATAAATTTTAGATATAAAAAAAAATGTGAATTCAGATAACAAAAACATACCAAAGTGATGGGGTAACGCAGCAACTGAAGAGCATCTTCCAAAGTAATAGAAGTAACATCTGAAATCTGATCATCACATTACAAGAGAAATTATAAGCCAACAAAACTTTATATATACGACACAAAAACAAATATATAAATATATAAAAATATAATATACCTGGGAGACAGAAGCTCGTTTAGGTAAGTGTCCCTTTTTGTCTTCACCAAGCTGAACATAATGACCATATGGACCATCCTTCAATAGAATCTTCATCCATCCATAACATAACATAACATAACATAACATAACAAAACACCAAATATAATTAAACAAACTATGTGATTGTGTCGCACATAAAAAATTACATTAAGAAAACAAAAAGATATAAACCTTTTCATTAGAGGTAGGATGCACTCCAAGAACCTTGGGCTCCTCTACAGCTCGACTATTTTCTGGGCTTGAATCATCCTCATCATCACCATATAGTGTCTTAGCAATATACCTTTATAAATCATTTACATATTATCAACTTTTTTAACAAAAGAAAAACAATAAATTGGCAAACTTACTTGCACTGAGGATGTTGATCACAACCAATGAAATAACCAGCACCAAATCGACTTACTTTAAAAATCAAAGTACCCTCTCTACAACTTGGACACAATCTACTTTGATCAGGAAGAGAAGCAAACAAAAAATCACCAAATGTTTTCTCCAACATCTTCTCCACTTGATGAATATGAACACTACTAGCACGTTCACAATACTTACTAAATCTTGTCCAATAATCTCTAAGCAACCCTTTCCATTCAGTCAAACCCCCCGAAACATTATCCAATTCAGTCTCCATATCAGCTGTAAAACTATAATCAGTAACCTCAGAGAAATGATGAAACAAAAAAGCAGACACCATACGCCCACGAAACTCTGGATACAACACTCTGCTTTTCACTGTCATGTAATTTCTATCTTTCAATACTTTAATTGTTGTTGCATATGTAGAAGGTCTCCCAATTCCAAGCTCCTCCATCTTTTTTACCAAACTACCCTCCGAGTAACGCGATGGAGCTTGAGTGTAATGTTGTTTCGGTTCTAATTCTCCAAGACTCATTGAATCCCCGGATTTTAGATTGTCAAGAATCTCAAAATGCCCATTTTGCCCTTCGTGTTCGTCTTCATTGTTCCTAATTATCCTACTCTCAATATCCTTATATACAGCTTGGAAACCAAGGAAATCCAATTTTGAGCTTGAGGCTCGAAAAATAATCGAGCTGTTTGAGTTTCCTATATCGATTTGTATTTGTTCTGTAACAGAAGGTTCCATTTGACATGAAATTGAACGACACCAAATTAAAGTGTATAATTTTAATGAATCTTCATCAAGAATTGTGGAGAGCATAGAGGGGAGTCTTGTTATATCTGTGGGCCTAATCGCTTCATGGGCTTCTTGGGCGTTTTTGACTTTTTTGAAAAACTTTCGGGGGGTATTCGGGATGTATTTTTTCCCGTATCTTTCTGTAACAAATGATCTGATGTCATCAACAGCGGTATCCGACATGTGTAATCCATCGGTTCTCATGTACGTAATCAACCCTGCTGAATTCCCATCTGGCAACTTTACCCCCTCGTATAGCTTTTGTGCAAGTTTCATGGTGTATGCTGATGGAAAGTGTAGTTTGCTTGCAGAATCTTGTTGGAGGGTAGATGTTATGTAAGGAGGTGGTGATATTCTTTTGTAGTTTTTTTTACTTGTTCCAACCACTTCAAACTCTGAAGATTTGATCATGTTTTCAATAACATTTGCCTCTGTTTGAGAACCAATCGACATCTGGGTTAGCTTTTTGGAATCATAATGTGTTAAATGTGATGGGGTTTGACCATTTTGACTCTTGAAAACACCTTCAATTGACCAATACTCTTCCGGTTTAAACTTATCGATTTCGGTTTCCCGATCGCATATTAGAGCTAAAGCAACGGATTGGACCCGACCCGCGGATTGGCACCCGGGTAATTTTCTCCATAACAATGGAGAAATGTTGAATCCGATTAAATAATCGAGAGCTCTTCGTGCAAGATACGCGTGGACTAAATTGAAATCTATGTCTCGTGGGGCCCGCAAGGCTTCTTTGATGGACGATTCGGTAATTTCATTGAATACAACTCGGGCAATATTTATGTCTTCTGGCAACGCGTTTTGTTGTTGTAACATTTCAACAATGTGCCATGCGATTGCTTCACCTTCTCGATCAGGGTCTGATGCAAGAATCAGATTTTGGGTTCTGAAAAAGAAAAAAAAAATCAAGTTTATTTTATTTTGTGAGAGGATAAGAATTAGGGTTCATAGTTCATAGTCATACTCTGCTAATGCAACTTTAATGCTCTTGAGATGAGTCCATGCAGCAGAAGGAACCTCCCAAACCATGCTGAAGTCATCTTCTGGTCTTACAGATCCTGACCTTGCAGCTAAGTCTCTTACATGACCATAACTTGGAATGACTTCAAACATATCCCCAAGATACCCCTGAATCACTTTTGCCTTTGTCATAGACTCCACCACCACTACAGATTTACCAGAGGGAGGATATAGGGGTCTTATTGTCCTATTATTCTTCACACTTGTCATGGTTTTTGGCTTTGAAGCTACTTCACTCACATTTGAGATTTCCACTGTGTCATTAGATTTGGCTTGTGTTTTAGGTTTTCTTTTGCGGGTTTTACTTGTTGTAGTTGTCTCTTTGGGTTGTTCCTCTTCCAAACTCACTTCAATAGTGGGCTTCCCATTTGGGGTAACCTGAAAATGTTAACACATTGTTAAAAAAGGGTACATTGGAGAATATAGAAACATATAAGTCTGCTCATGTACAAAGTTAGCTTTTAACTAACCTCTGAAGCAGAAGCCAACTCGTCATTTTTGGATGACTTTGACTTCTTTGACCGAGAAACTTTTTTAGAACTTGCTTGTGGTTGTGGAGGTGGTTCCTCAGAAGCAACAGCAGACTTCTCTTGACTTTTCTTGACTTTGGGAGTCGGTTTCTTTTTCGCTTTTGTTTTAGGCAACTGGCTTTCATTGTCAACAAGATTCACTTCTATTTTGCCATCTTCAACAGGTGAATCTTTTAAAGCAAGTATATCATCTTTTTTAACAGCTTTTATAGATTTAGTGGATGTTCTTCCTCCAACTTCTAATGGCTTCTTGTGAGTCAATCTCTTAGTTTGTTTCCAATGTTTATTGAATGAAAGGAAGGATGTGGTTTTCCTTCTTCCTTCTCCATCACATGCATCATTTTTAGGTATTACTGCTCTTGGAATTTGAGAGAAATGTCTATAGGGTGCAAAGATACCAAAGCCACCATTCATTAAACCATAATTAATTGTACTCATTGGTCGAATAGGGGGGGCAATTCTTGATAGTGGCTGAATGGAGAAGGTAGAGTAAGACTGATTAGTGTGGCTTCTGAAAGAAAAATAGGGTTTTTGAGGTTTCAAGCTTGGAGCTTTAGCATGTCTACCATTAAAGATGCAAGATACTGTCACCCTTTTTAAACCAACTTCCAAAAGTCTCTCACATGTATGACCACTTCCAAATGACGAACAGCCAGAGAAACTATGTAATGCCTTGCTCTGAAGATTGAAATAAGTATGACAAAATTAGCTCAAATAAAATGACTATAAATCATCTTGCAACCAATCATTGGAGAAAACAGGTTGTATTGTAAAATTTGTCATTGAAAAGCTGCTATTGACTTGAGTTAATCAAGGCATAATCCAAACTAGTTGAGGAAAACAAATCTATAACCATTGGAGGTTTAAATGAAAATGGGACATTTTCTGTTTTCTGTGTATTAGGCTTCATACAACAGGGGGGTCTTACAAATAAACAACTTGAAATAAAAACACCTATGTTTAAAGAAAACACAAAGCTTTTATGTGATTGTACTATCAAACAGTTGTCAATTGGTTTTCTTATTCTTTCTTGATGGTGTCAAAAAACGTTATCTCCATATGTTTCTTGGGTACTCAGAATGCATTTGTGAATTGTAATCGTTAAAACAAAAATGAACGACACTGCAGAAAGCAGGGGAAACTTCACCATGATCGCCTCCACCAATGAAGTGGTAGAGAAATTTCTTAACCAAGACTGAAAACTCAAAGACGTGGCGGTGGTTGTGGAATTGGCGACGAACAAACTTTTGTGAAGCTGTAGGACGAGTGTCGTTAACCCATTCGATGAAATGTCTCAAACACCAAAACTTTGCTCTGTATCCGAACAAAAACCTAACGCAAACACACAGCATTTCTTCAATTACACAACTCAAAATGCGAATTGCAATTGAAAATAGCTCCAAAGGATTCATCTTTTTTGCGTAATTTTCTCCTCTCTCTTCCTATCACTTCCCAAAATAAGTCCTTTCTATATAGATAATCTTAACGAAATGCTTTTCACAAAGAAAACAAGATAGAAAACAAGGTAAAGCGATATAAAGCGAAACGAGGAACTCACCATTGATGCGGATTGCTGAAGGGGTAATTATTTTAGCTCCACATGATAACGAGTATCGCTATAATCTTACACACGCACACAACTGAGGAGATGTTTGCCTGTTTGGAGGTGAAGTAAAAGAGCAGGCATTGGCGGCATGAAATGGTGAGGTTTTGATGGGCGCAGAGGTTTTAGGGCCCCTAACAGCCCAGAAGCCTAAACTCAAATACTCAAATCGAAATGGTTCGTCTATGTTTTGGACCGATGTTCAAGTGGTCTTTTTTTTTTTTATGAGTTCATTGATATTCTTTGTTGGGATTTTGATACCGATTAAAGACTTTCTTTGGGCACCAAATTATGAAATAGAATCACAAAATAATATTGCATTGAAGAAATGTAAGTAACAAGTTATTAAAATAGGTTTTTTTTCGGGGAAACTGCAATAAAGTCCCTATATATTGGTCTCATAATCGATTTAGTCCCTACATATTTTTTTTATTCAATTAAGTTTCAAATACCGGTAATCGTATTCAATTTAACCCTTTGACCCGACAACAGGTCATCCAACTTTCAAAAATTACATTTTTGGCCCAGATTTTAAAATTTATTACAAATTTGGTCCAAAATTTACACTTTTGGCCCAGATTTTAAATTTTGTTACAAATTTGGTCCAAACTTTACCCTTTTTGCCCAAATTTTAGAATTTTATTATAAATTCAGCCTAACTTTAGTTTTTTTTTTACAAATTTTTTTCTCAAATAATTGTTTTTTCTTTATAAAATCATATTTATACAAAAAAACGTATTTTCATATAAAAATCTTATATTTTCTATATAAAAACTTTTTTTAAAAGTTTTTGTATATGAAATATCTATTTATAAAAATAGGTATTTATTAAGTATATAAATATATACAAATCCGTTTTTATAAAAAAATGTATACAAAAACGTATTTTACAAAAAAAAAATGTATACAAACACCTATTTTATCTATATTTTTTTTATAAAATTGTGTTTGTTTACATTTTTTTTTTATAAAAACGTGTTTGAATAATTTTTTATATAATACGTGTTTGTATACATTTTATAAAATTATGTTTGTATACATTTTATAAAAAACGTGTTTGAATAAATTTTTTATATAATACGTGTTTGTATATATTTCATAAAATCGTGTTGGTATACATTTTATAAAATATATACAAACACGTATTATATAAAAAATTATTCAAACACGTTTTTATAAAAAAAAAATGTAAACAAACACAATTTTATAAAAAAAATATAGATAAAATAGGTGTTTGTATACATTTTTTTTTTGTAAAATACGTTTTTGTATACATTTTTTTATAAAAACGGATTTGTATATATTTATATACTTAATAAATACCTATTTTTATAAATAGATATTTCATATACAAAAACTTTTAAAAAAAGTTTTTATATAGAAAATATAAGATTTTTATATGAAAATACGTTTTTTTGTATAAATATGATTTTATAAAGAAAAAACAATTATTTGAGAAAAAAATTTGTAAAAAAAAAACTAAAGTTAGGCTGAATTTATAATAAAATTCTAAAATTTGGGCAAAAAGGGTAAAGTTTGGACCAAATTTGTAACAAAATTTAAAATATTGGCCAAAAGTGTAAAATTTGGACCAAATTTGTAATAAATTTTGAAATCTGGGCCAAAAATGTAATTTTTGAAAGTTGGATGACCTGTTGACTGGGTCAAAGGGTTAAATTGAATACGATTACCGGTATTTGGGACTTAAGTGAATAAAAAAAATATATAGAGACTAAATCGATTATGAGGGCAATATGTAGGGACTTTATTGCAGTTTTCCCTTTTTTGTTGTGTAAAAATTGAAAACTTAATCAGATTATATTGACAAATAAAGAAAATTTTATTATTTATAAATATACTTTACTCAAGGAATATCGTTAAATAAATTACACATAGCATTTTTATGTAATCTAAAATATATAATCTATGTAAACATTATCGTATATGTGATTAGAACTCTTTTTTTTAAATAAAGTTTGAAATTCATTATGAAACTAATTTGCATATAAGGTGCCTTAAACATCTAGGTATTTAAACGATTAAGAAGCTTAGCGTTGAAAATTATACGAGAGCATAACAAATGTATAAGAGACAAACTATGTAAAGTGTAAGATTATTTCAAATAAAATATCAAATAATCTTCTAAAAATCCCATAAGCTCCTCGTTTTCCAAGATATCACTAGGTAACGCTACTAACATGAACACATATTAAAATAGTATGTTATGTATGAAAAAACTAGTCAGTGATATAGGATTAGACAAAATGTAGTGATATAGGATTAGACAAAATGTAGCGAATACAATTCAACAAAAGGCCACAACCCCTTTTATTAAAAAATAAATAAATAATAACTCATTTAAAACTTCCTTGAAATCAAGTTGGGGAAAATCATTGTAAATAATTTTACAATGAAAGTACATTGTTATAAACATTAAAAATTCAAAACAACCGTCAAAGAAACATTGTAATATGGAGCTTGAAGTTCAAGGGAATTCAATGAGTGAGTTGTATACCTTTATAACCTCATAATTCTGTGTGTTTTAAGTTGCAATTATGGTATCTAGTCCATTTTGATTGCAATCCATGAGTCACGCATGGTAATTTGGTGAATATGTGTTCTATAGACTCAATGGACTTCTATATGGATGTTTGGAGGGAAAACGACTTATGTGAGTAGTTAGTTATTGTCTTTGTATTCATTTGGTCATTTTCCTTTTTTTGTATCTGATTAACCATTAAAATTATTGTAGGTGTTCATAGAAACCACTGAAACCGGCTATTGAAGGTTTCCGACAATTTCTTATCTCCGGCGACTCCCCGGTCGTCTTCTTCGGCGAGCCTCCGAAAAAATGAGTTTTCCGACGGATCCTTGGGTCTCGGCTGAAACCGGCTATCTGGATGTTGTTTTGGTGTTGGTTGTTTATTTCGAAGATAGGAACCATTGGGATCTTTTCTTATGTTAATGAAAGTGTTTCAACTTTTATTTTAATATATATATATATATATATATATATATATATATATATATACCTTAATAAGCATTTAGTATATTTTGCTGAATTTTAAGAGGTACAAATCTTTACTACATATTTACAATCATTTTATGCATTGAAAAATATCCGATCAATATTTGACAAAGTCAAGAAACCTCTTAACGCCTCTTACAATGCTTTATTGTTTTGACGTGGCTCATTATCTTATCCCAACATGCCCCCATATCTCGGTAGTTATGTTCATTGTTCATATAAAGACACAATCGTATAGAAGCTCCCCGTCACTCCTTCACATTGATCTGGCATGGCTCTTTCTAGAAACCCTAGTCGTCGACCTTTATCTCCCATCTTCCCGTGGTAGAATTTTGAAAACCTTAGCGTCCCTCCTTCAAGTCTCCGCCATCATCACCACACCCCACCATCTTTGCTTCAGCCGCCCACTGCCACCACACCACCATCACCTTCACATATTTTCCCTCTCTCTTACATGTCACCTCCAGTGTCTCCACCAGTTCACCATCTATCATCACCCATCGCCCTTATACATCGTCATCCTCACAGTCTCTTCCATCTAATACCATCACCGCTTTCACCCCAAATACCCGATGCCACACCATCACCGCCATCACCACATCTACTCACTTCACCACCGTCACCACCGACAGGAAAACCCATGAACCACCGGTCTCTCTTAGTCTTCAGGTAAAAAAAATTGTTACTATTCTTCAAGATTTAAACCCAAAACTTCCCATTTTTCCTTTTCTCATTCAACTTTTGATGATTTTTTGGAGGTTTCCGAATTTCTGTTCTTTAAGGCTGCATTTTGAAGAAGAAGTAGATCAGGTTTGGGCTTCTTTTTTACTTTTCCCTCTCCATTGTATAGAAAACCTCAGTTTGGGTATTTTGTTTGCTGAAATTTGATTGTGTTGAGTGGGGCTTTTTTAAGGTTTAAAACTCAATCAAGTATTCTAAGATTGTGCTTGGTCTTTATCTCAGCCTTATGTTCGTGTTCTCTTTATTTTTCTTACCCACCTTCAAAATTGTTCTATCTATTCGTTAAGAACCCAGAAAAATACACCGCCATCGAACCACTTACCGCCACCATCGCAGAAAACCCATCATGCCAGTCGTCGCCGCCTACCACCACCTTCGTAATCTCCATCAGTGACCACGGGTACTCTCGAAAGCATCTTCAACATATTTATTTATATTTTTTGTTTTTTTTTCTGCTTGATAGAGAGCACTCGCCTAAATCAATTCTCGAGGGTTACAGTGATATGTTATTGAACATGATGAAAAGGTATGTATATTTGGTAGTTTTTATAGATTGTAATTATAATTTTCAAGCAATCAAATATACTCATTCAAATCATAACAATAAATATTGAAGGAATAAAGGTGATTTGTTACTTCACCTATCGATGATTTAGGTATTTAATCATCACCTTCATCAGCCATCGTCCCAACAATCAAAACCATATCCATCAACAAAGGAAACCACCACCACTCTCCTCCTTCTATCTTCCCTAACCAACAGCCTTCACACCACACACCACTCCCCTATATACCGTTGGACAAGTTACCACCTCACACCACTCCCCCTCATTCTGCCATTAACCATAACGCGTAACACCACTCACACTCAACATCACCCTCACCACCACTCACACTAAACATCCTCATCACATCTCACTCTCAAGAAAAAGACCCTGATTGAATGGCAGGTGGCTAAAAATAGTTAAATCGGCTCCAAAAAAGATTAAAATTGGCCAATTTTAATCTAAACTTCAGGTACCATCTTTATCCCATATAAATTTTATTGTTACAGTGGTTCATTGGATTAATTCCTAACTACAGGTGTTGTAACTGAGAACTCTATCTATCTCTCACTCTCGATGCATCTATACTTCACTCTGTTTTCTATGATTTAATGCCTTCTGGATACTGCTTCCTTTTATTTTGTTTAAACTGAAAGATGGAAAATTTGAAGGTGTTTTCCAATGTATTTTTATCTTAGGTACCATTCCTAGGGTTTCTACCATCCCAGGCCAACCACGAGCTCAAATAGTATGTGATATATGGGAGTGAATCCTCACTCTATGTATCTCATCTCCATGTATTATATCTATAATATATTATACAGATTTTGAAT